GGGTGGAGAGCAAGAGGGGCCCCTAGCAGTAGCCACATGTGAGACCTGTAGCTTCAGAAATTATTTCATTCTAAGGCCGCTACTTCCAACTAAGTTTAGGGACCAAGTAAAGTTTTAAAATTAAAGAATTACCTGGCTTGCTTGCTTATTTCTCTCACCTAGAGAGTTCTCTTTTGTCAGTTTTAAGGCCGTCAGTGTGAGGCCTTGTTCAGGTTTGTGGATGAGAAACTGCCAGGGATATCAAAAGGTCAAGAGGTTAAGACACATGCCTTGACCTTAAGTGTGACCTATCAGCTGTTAATACTCCTTTGGAGGTATTTCTCGGAAGACGGTGTAGGCTTCTTTGCTGGCAGCCTCGCAATGTTTTGTTTGGTCAAGTGTGTTGAAACCTTTTGACTCTCAGCCAGCGAGAAGCCTAAGCCAGACTTTTTCTCATGCCTCCTTAAGCCCCCCTGTCTTTTTGCCTCAGACCATGGCTTAGAGACAGCAGCTTCATGTTGTGCTTGTCCTGCTCTGGGGAGAAAGCTGGCCTCTCTCTGGCCCAGCATCCTGAAACCGCTTCCTCTAAAGAATTGCAACCAAAACCCAGCGGAGGCCTTTGTGTTTGTTGCAATTTTGTCCTTTGAGTAAAAGCATTCTTTCTGTGGTGTTGAGGAGAAGCTAATTATGCATCTTTCAATGACCAGCAATTCCTAGAATGAGGGATGATTTAGATGAAAATGATACAAACTGAGAGGTTAGTGCTCCTCCGGCAAACTGAGTCCAACAGAGCTAGAATTTTACCTCTAGCTCTTAGCGTTGTATCTCTGAATACCCATTAAAAGCTAGGGATAGTACCCCTTCAGTTAGGGTCTAATAAGCACTCAGTGTGTGCTGGGTAGCCAGGGGAAGCAGGGCAGAGGCCAGTGAGACAAACGCCCTATACTTGCAGAGCCTACCTGCTAGCAGGGGAACAGAACAAGCAAGCAAACATGGATTGGGTTGCCCTGGGAGGGGAGGGCTTAGTGAGGATGAAGCAGGCAAAGAGCCAGTGGCCTGAGCGCTGCTTTAAAGACCAGGATGGCATTTTGAAGAAAAGTGACACCTGAGTCAGGACCTGGGGGGAGGAAGGGATGGGGACATCATGGGAGGAAGGAAGGGATGAGGACATCTGGCAGGGCTGTTGCAGGAGAAGGCCCTGAGCAGGAAAGAGAATGCCTCATTGTTAGGAGAAAAAAAAAAAAAGAAAGAAAAAAAAAGAAAAGAAAAGAGATCTCTCGACCTCTGGGACATATAAGAGTCTCTGGGGCTCTGGCTGCATTTCCGCTGTATCTCAAGAGTAGAGCTATCAGTTTCTCTCTATTGGTGGCAAGTTGGGCTTTTATTCAGTAATCTAAATCTGCTACGGAGGTACTGCCTTATCTGTAAGGATGGAGTCCAGTCCCAGGAACCAAGAGGTTGTTCTGACAGGAGGGAGGGGAGGTTTTCCGAGGAAGGGACATAGAGTAAGAGGCAAGTTCACGTCTGTCCCCCAGTGACAGCCCTGGCTTTTCTCTGCCTCTCTGCTCCTGCTGTTTCCCTTTAGTTCAGCTGTTTACCCAGTGAGGCCCACCTTCCTTATCCCACCTGGGATGGAGGAGACTCCGTGGGGGGATCACCCACTCGCTGCGCCCCCCCCCCGCCTTCTTTGTATCCAGGCAACAGTGGGTGGTGAGCACTGGGGAAGCCTTGTGGAGGAGGGAGAAGTGAACAGGGGAAGTTGGGAAGGGAACAAGGGCTACCTGGGACACGGGAGGACAAGAAAGCACCGATATCCTGCAAGGAAAGAGTTCCTGTCCATGTGTACAGTATCTGGGTCCCAAATCTGCCTGGAGCTTCAGGAAAGGGTCATCCTCTTAACGCCCAAAATGGCCTGCTAGAATCACCAGGCCCTTCTCTTTTCCTTCTTCTATCTGGCTTAGGACTTGAATCTTGCTAAAATTCAAGGATAGTCTGGTTCAAGTCACTGAAATCTTATTACAAAAGGATGATGCTCCTCTCCTGAGGCCCAGAGGCTTCAGCTCTCAGCTGACCAACGGGGGCCTTTCCAATACACGCATGCACATGCATGCGTACATACACACACACAAGCACACACACGCAAATATATGGTTACACACGCACACACGAGAGAGAGAGAGAGAGAGAGAGAGAGAGAGAGAGAGAGAGAGAGAGAGAAATGCAAATGCAGTAAGGCAATTCGTTGGGAGACTCAGCAGACCCCTCAATTCAGTCAATTAAACTGCCCTTGGAAAACTCCAGCAGTGTTCTTCTCTAAACCTGTAATCTGATGTCTTCCTAGTTACCTAGTTTCCACTAGGCTGAGCTCCGGTCAAGCCCTGGAGAATAGACCCTGAAAACAACACACTGATGAAATTCTTCTTGTATCCAAACAAGCTGTGAGGGCAGGATGCAGTTGGAGGTTGTTCTTTCTTCTCTGCCTGGGCCTGGGTTACTATAGTTCACCAGGAAATTATGTGTACCCTGAGAAGGCTCCAAACCCTGCCTCAGGGAGCCCATGCTTCTGGCTTCCTTGCAGCTCCCTCTTTGTGACCAGAAGTTGGCTTCAGAACCACGTGCTGGGTCACACTGCTCATGTTGTTCCCATCAGGAGAGAACCCTTGCTCACTGCTTCTGAATCGGGATGAACACCCTCGTGAAGACAGCCCCAGATGCCAGGTACCCAGGGTGTGGTCCCTCTGCATCCTGATGCTGAGGACCTGTGGTGACAGCTGCATGCAGAAGCCCCTTTCCCACCCTCCTTCCTCGTGCACACACGGCCTCTCTGTCACTCCTTGTGGTGAGGACACACATGGAGAACACGTGACAACCTGTGAGTCCTTCTGCTTCCCATGAGTCCTAAGAACCTGGTCGTGTGGGAGGTGGGGAGCAGCCAGGCACAGACAGATGTCAGCTGCTGTGTGGGACCCAAGGGTTTAAGGGTCCCCAAGGTGGTAAGATCCTCCTCTGGCTTCCTTTCTCATTTCTGTGCTGCTGGGTCCTGCCTTTTCCTCCAGTAGGAGGAACCGCGTTCTGACCACAGGATGCCAACGTGGAAGGAGAGAGCATGTGGGACCGGGTACAGTAAGAGAGCATTGCCAAGGCAAGTGGCAAGGTGGTGGCGATGCTTGGCCTAGACCCCTTGTCTTAGTTCACAGACCTGTGCCCTTTCATGGATGCTAAAGGGAAGAAGACACCTGAGCTGCACACCTTAGCGGCACAGATTCAGTCCCCGGATGTGTCTAGTAATGACCTATCAATGTCAGAGGTCAGACATGTCCTGCTTAGATGTCGCATCATAGAAAGCGCCAGCTGCCTAATCTCTGAGGTCTTAGGTAGTCTGAACAGCGCGAAGGAACCTGTGGATTTGTTCAGTCCCTGATGCCTTCCTTCTCCTGTCCATCCTCACCATCTACAGTAAGCTGTGTCTCTAGCACCATTTGGCTGAAAATTATTATAAAATTATAAATATAGAGGGAAGAAAGGTCCTCACAGAGCAGGTGGTCCCATCAACGCTGACAATTAAAAGCAGAGGCCAGTCTGAGGCCTCCGTAGCTCTGTCTATGGACCTTTTCAAGGCCTGAAGATCTGAGCAGTGAACTTGGAGAGTTAGCAGATAAGCTGTAGAACTTAAGCGGAATGTTCGGTACCTCTTCATTCATTCTCCACACGGCATTAGAAACCGCTGTCCATTCATCAGGTTTCCAAGTCCAGAGTCATCTGGGTGTGTCTGGTCTGTGCATGCCCCAATGTGACTGAACCAAATGTTCCCCCTTTAAACTGTACCCCACTCTCCAGCTCTAAGTCATGCAAAGGGGTGGGTGTGTTGCGAAGGGTGCAGAGGGAGGGGCTGCCGAAGATACACTGGTGCTCTCAACTTTGACCCCGTCAGGTATAGAATTCTATTTACTGGAGGTCTCTTTCATTTGCATCTCTAGTGAAGACCATAATGTCTGTCTCTACCTCACAATGGGGAAACTGGTGCTCACTGCAGCAGGGGCCCACCCTGGGGCCAACTCCGAACCCCAAACCTGGCTCAGTTACCTGAGTCACATTCCTGGCCGGGACTACACTGGATGCAGTATTCCTGTTCCCTTTCAGGAAATGAAACAGTTGATTTTTCATTTACACGAAAAGGAAAAATAAATACCAGATGTTTGGAAACCTAGTACAAACTCACCATGCTGGAACTTACAAGGGCATTCAGAAGGAAAGGATTTCAAGTCAGAAAATCCACAAAGCAAAAAAAGATGTTTTGAATGAAAATGCATTTTTGTCTTTCTCTCTCTCACACACACACAAACAGTATCTCATTGTTTCTTCCTCGGGGAGCAGCTGTGGAGGAACTTAAGGGAGGGGACAGACACAGCATCCCATCTTTGTGCCTCATACAGACCTCAGCTTTGAGTCCAGTGTTCTCGAGCTGCGGGGGGTGTGGCATGCATGGCCATCAAAGGCCAATGGCCTGATGGGAGCTTATAAAATGACCCTGAGACTCCAGGCACCAAAACAGGCGCCTCACTTGAAGGATTCTGTGTGGAAACTGCCGTCTGCTGTCTTCTTAATAATAATATAAAAAGGTATGTACATGGTTGTAGCGTTCACTTAGGATAAATATGTTTAAAATAGAGATTGCCTTGACTTTCTGTTGCCCCCTTTCAGCTCAAGTGGTGAGTATGGACCGGGGGCGTGCACACTAGCCCTACAGGCCATCTCATTGTCCTCAAACTTACAAGGTAGGTGCTCTTGGCAAATTTCAGGTGACAAGTCAACGGGTAGGTAAGCCTGAGCTTGCCCTGATGGCTCCTCCTGCCCTCCAACCTCCCCCTACCCAAAGGAGACATGAGAAGCTGCCTGTGTGCCAAGCAGCACCGGATGAATTCTCTAGAGGGATTCAGCTGCTCCTGACGGTAAGATGGACTGAAAACTGGGACTGACTGTGTGAGCAGAGTACTGGATACGAAACCATTTTGCTTAGATATGGGATTTGCTGGGTGTAGTGGTGTAACCCTTTAACCCTCACGCTAGAAGACATTGCAAACTGTAGGACAGCCTGGACTATGTAAGAAAAAAAGAAAAGGAGAGGAGAGGGGAGGGGAGGGGAGGGGAGAAGAGGGAAGGAAAGGAAAGGGAGTGGAAAAATGTAGTACTTGTTTGATTCGAAAGTTACATGGGTTTGGTTGTTTTTAAGATCTAATCACCCACGGAAATATTTTATTATGCCATATGAAACCTCAGACTCTAGTTAATGCCCCCAGCTTCTTGAGGTCGGGGACTGTGGCTACAAGGACATGCAGGCTCTTGGAGAACTGGGTTCAAGTTCTGGCCTTACAAGAGATCTATGAATTAAGCTGAACCAATGACCTTACAGAAAACACAATCAGTTTCAGCACAGGTGGCTTCTGGATGAGACGTTGGGGCCTCCATATAGATCCCATAGTAGGTACTGAGGCCAGAGCTTCCAAGGAGAGCCTCAGCATGTTTGATGATGGGTACCCACAGTCAGTGCCTACCCAGAGTGCACTGCAGGCTTGGAAGAATTACCTCTAAGTTATTTAATAGTCAGTTGAAATTATAGTTAAGCTTTTTTCTAAAGGTAAATTCACCAAGATGAGCTTCCTGCAATATCAGACAATAGGAAGACATGCATTGTAAACTGTGTATCTTTTACCCAGAGTTATGCAGCCCTCCAATACCATGCTCTGTCAGTGTTATGTGAATCTGAATGGAGGGGGCATGGAACATTAGCATCTCCCCTCTCAAGGAAGATATTCCTCTAACTATAGGAAGAAAACTCCAACAGCCAGACAGCATCTCTGGAAGCCATGTAGTCAAGGGGAGTGAGCCGTGCTCTGACTCCTCCCACAGAACTCAGGGTATGTTTCAGGCCACAAGAGAACATCTTGTCATACGACATTGTCAGAGCTAGACATGGGGCTGACTTGTTATTGCTGTTGCATGGTGAAGCAGGGTTCATCAGGTCTCACAGGCAAGCATTCAGTGAAAGGGATGAACACAGAAGGGAGCATGACCGAGAGGCTATGGATGGATAGCTGGTCCTGTCCTGCTCCTTTCCAGGCCTGAGTTTCCCCACTGTACACCTGGCAAGGGTGAGGGGGTGGGGCTGTGTAGTTGTCCTCTAAGATCCTATCCATTTGTAAACGCAGTAGAGCGTACATCCTATGTGCCACACATAAAGTCGGGTGCTTGGGAAAGACCATTGGATTAGGCCTGTGGGTAGAGTTAGGAAAATTCCGAGAGCGCTGGAGAATGGGTGCAAAGTTTTGTGAGTTTAGGCTGGGCTTCTACAAACACTCCACCTCCCGAAATGTTAAAACACAGATGTTGTGTACATAGTGAGGGGGCCTTCAAGAACTAAAGATGGTGGTCCCTCCACAGATTTGCTCAAGAGAGCTTCAGCAGCCACCCCTCCCCACCCCGCCCTAGCTGGCAGCTCTTGCTCCTTACATAACTGTTCTTTTGAAAACCAGGCAACAAAGCCTTCAGAAAAGAAGCTATTGATTATTAAAGTTATTTGGAGGTTGAAAGACTCGTAATGAAGTGGTTATAATTATTCCTGTTATGACACATCCTTTTCAGGGCTTGGATCTGAGAACATTTTGCTTGCATTGACTCAGTCACCTTCATCTCGGAGAGAAAGGCAGCGAGCTGGAAATAGCTCGTGTGCAGGGAGAGACCAGGAGTCATGGAAAGGGAACAGAGGGAAGGCAAGTCGGGGGAAAGAGGCAGAGGAGCCCAAAGTGGCCAGCTATAGCCTGCAAGGACAGCCGTTGCAATCTGTCCATTGTCCCTGCCCAGAGACAGCTGTGGCCACCAGAAGACTTCTGCACTGAAATGATATTGTGTTCTTCCACATCAGCGGACGGGCCTTCTCTGGTTAAATGCACACCCTCTGTGGAAAAACACCCTCAGCGAATGGGGAAAACACTTGGGAAATACAATCCTGCTTCTGTTTTTCATAATAACAATGCTAGCATTTAGCTGGGCAAAGAGGCCCATGTTTGTAATTCCCAGCACTCATGAGGCAGAGGCAGGAAGATCTCTGTGAGTTCAAGACCAGCCCAATCTAAAAAGCAAGTTCCAGTCTAACCAGGGCTAATAGTGAGAGGCTGTCTCAAAATAAATAAATAAATAAATAAATAAGTAGATAGATGAATGAAGAAATAAATAAATAACAAATAGCGAATATATACTGAGTACCTGCTTGGTGTCAGCCCCTTCCTCTTTCTGGGGAGGTGTCTTACATCATTACAGCTGGTCTTAAATTGGTGACCTCCAGAACTGTCCCACCTAAGCCTCTCCTGGCTTTATTTTATCTCATTTTATTTTCGCAAAGTTTCATGAGATAGACATGACTATTAGTCCCACTTTACAAGCCAAGAAGCAAAGGTCTGACTTGCACAGGTACACTTAGTAGGTAGCAGAGCCAGAACTGGAAACCCATTTGAATAACACTGGGTCTCCATATGCTGCTCTTGGCTAGGGTTTCCAGGCCAAGCATGGGTTGATAGGGAAGCCCAGCAAGACACACAAGGATTAAGTGTGGGGGTCCGGGCAGCATTACTTTATGAATCTGATAGGACAGTTAAATTGGGCATAATTTGGATCTGAGCTTTATTTCTCCATTCACAGTATGACCTTTGACCTTTAGGTGCACCTCTTTGTCCGATCCCTGCAGACACATTGTTTTTGTTCCATAAACAAAAACCTACTGAACCTGACATTTTCAAGAGTCTGGGATGATTCTGAGGAGAACTGGACAGGATGCCCACCCTGGAGAAGTATTCAATGGGGAGTGGGAGGGTGAGGGTCCACGGAGGAGGCTAATCCAGATGCTCTCAAAGAGATACTGGTGCTCTGAGGTGATGGTCTCACTGTGACTGGACGGCCAGCCTGGCAGCAGCTGCAAGATGCAGCTCCTCAATGCTGAGGAGAATGCGGCTGACAGACCAGGCCCTCAAGGACTCTCCATCACCTTGTGTCCTCAGGAGACCCAGACACATCCAGCTGCCTTATTTCTCCCCAGGCCTCTCCTGAAGCCTCCCAGACCCGAGATGGTGACCATGCTGTTGCTCCTGGCTACACTGGCAAGCCTCTTCACTGCAGCCAAGGGACAAAGTTTCCATCTTGGGAAATGCCCATCTCCTCCAGTGCAAGAGAATTTTGACGTGAAAAAGGTGTGGTATCTCAAACTTCCCCTTTGTTTTGAGCATGCTGGGAGGTTTATTTTATTCTTTAATCTCCCTCCAAAGCAAGCCTTGGGGAGGTGTGGAGGTCTCTGCGGAGACAGGCCAGCAGGGTAACAATCCGTGTGAGGCAAGGAGAAAATCGGTTCAAGACGACTCAGTAACCAGCGTTGGTTCAGACTTCCAGAGTCTGTCCCCAGGTGGTTTATTTTAGACATATTTAAGTACCATGCAACTTGGAAAAAATTTTCCTGATTTAACACAATACACAATCCCGTGTGCACAAAGGTGCATAACTACACCGATGTCACTTCTTCCTGAAAGATGGGCTCTGTAGACAACCTACATGGGTTATTTTAAGGGACGAGGGGAGGATCTGGTGTGGTCTCCATCTTCCAATTAGCACAGAAGTTACCTAGCCTATTAGCCACCTTTGGTTCTAATTTGGCAGCTTGGGGGGAGCCTTTGGCCATACTGAGAGTGTAAAGGTCACCTAGACAATTCATCACTCCTGGTCCTGGTTGAGGGAGCTTGTGGGAAGTGTGGTATGACTTGGTGCCTTGGCACAGGGGTTACCGAGGCTATTAGCCACCTCCATCCCCAGCCTTCTGGGTGGAAAACAGATTATATATCTTTTCCTTGGAAAGACAAGCCAGCCTGTTTGCATTCCTGGTCCCTAATGCTATCTGTGAGCATATGAACCTTTGCACTCCCAACAGGGAAGGCACCTTCCTTATTTTGGGTTTCCCTGCAGTAGTCTCTGAGGCCACAAAGGGGAGAGGGGGGAATTCTTTGGCACCTCAGCTTGCCCTGTAGATGGATGCCAACATGCCATAGGAGTTCCCTGGCAGGGGAGAGCTGTCAGCGTGTAGGGATTGTCCCCCACATCTCTGGGAAGGTGGGGGTGAGGTCAGGGAATGTGAATAGCGGCATTGACTATGACTGGTTACTATTGTTGTCCAGAGAGGAAAGTGGAGGGTCCTCCCATGGCACAGTTGGTATACACACCCAGGTTTCCTTTCAGAGAGCTCAAGACAGGACCTGGGAAAGGCCGAAAGCCCCCCCAGGGGTGTTTTCTTGTTACCTACAATATAACTAGCTCCTCATAAATGCTCCTTCTTCTTGGAATGAGTCAGAGGGAGCAGCAAGAAGGTGGGCAGTGATTAGGTGAGAGAACGCAGCGGCTCCCACAACTGGGGAAGGCCTGGGTTCTAATCTTAAGGCCCTTCTCTTTAAAAGGTTTTGGTTGATTTTAGGGAGCAGCACACTTGGCTTGAGAACTTATCAGTCACGGTGGGTGCTGGAAGTGCTAGAGGGTGGGACGGGAGAGCTTAGAGAGGGGAAGGGAAGAATCAATCGGCAGGCAGAGCCCAAGGTTAGGAAGGAAAGACCACGCGCTAAGGTCTACACTGACATTCTTCATTAATATCTTAAGAATTTTCTTTAATTAAGTCAACCTGGAACCCCCCTACGAAACCACCCCCCAAAATCAAAAAATAAAAGCAAACAAAAAACATGTTTTTGATAATATCTAGGGAATTTGAGTTACTTTGAGAACTGAAGCAAAATGTTTTGAAAAGATGTTCTTGTGTGTGTGTGTGTGTGTGTGTGTGTGTGTGTGTGTGTGTGTGTGTGTGTGAACGTGCGTAAGTGAGAAGGGGCCTATGCAGAGTGATGGGTCCCCTGGAGCTGGACTTACAGGCAGCTGGGAGCTGTCCCATGTGTAGGCCAGGACTTGAACTCCTCTTCAGGAGCAGCGAGGGCTCTTAACTGCAGAGGCATCTCTCCCGTCCTAAAGCAGATTTTTTTAAGGCAAATATTGGATTGATTGGTTTATATAGCATTTTGCTGACTTGTTCAAAAAAGTTTTTATTTCAAGGATTTTTAATCTATTCACTGTTATGCAGTCATTATTAAATCAGTTTTAGAAGACTTTCATTGTCTTCTAAAGAAGCCACAAACCCGCTAACAGTCTCTCTAGCCACACTACTCAGACTTTTCACCGCTGGGACAAACCCCTGAGAGAAACAACTCCAAAGAGGGAAGATCGGTTCCGGGCTCTGTTTTCAGTGATTTCGGTCCACGGTTCATATGGCCCCCAGGCTTATGGGGAGCAGAACTTCACAGGGCACATAGTTCAGAAGGCTGCTTAGCTTATGGCGGCCAGTAAGCAGAGAGAGAAAGGAGTGCAAACAAGCCATCTCTCCCAGGCATGCACTCCCTGGCCTGCTTCCTCTAACTAACCCCTCCCATTTACTACCTCCCAATGTAGCAAATCATCAAGGAACTAATCCATTGGTTAGGTCAGAGCCCTTAGCATCCTATGACTTCCTTAAACGTCTCACCTCTGAACTCTGCTCACATCAGGACCAAACCTCCGACCTGAGGAGAAGCTTCACGCCCAAACCCTAACACTCCTTTTCTTCCCAACTCCACCATACCCACACGACCAATATTTTCCTTTCTGTCAATATGAATTTGTCTATGGGATATGCAATGCTAGCTTTTGTGGCTGAAGGAAATGTTTTCAAGGTTTACCTGTTCGCAGAGTGCGTCAACACTCCATTCCTTCTGTTGCCAAATGATGCAGGGATGATGCTACAGTTATTGGTCCTTATCGTTGGAGTTGTTTTACTTTTTTGCTATAGAAATGCTGTGGCTGTGGATATGCAGACTTGGGGCTTTTTTGGAAGAGGGAGTGTGTTTTCAGTTTGTTGGGGGATATATGAAGTACGGTTGTGGATATGGTAACTCCATGTTTAGCTTTTTGACAAGCTGTTGGACCATCTTAGAACACTGGCACCATTGCACGTTCTCACAGGCAGCCTCTAACATTACTTTCCTCACATCTCCGCCGGCGGTTGTTATCGTTGTCCTCCCTTATTATAGGTGTCAGAGTGATATTAAATAGCATCATCCCCATTTCTTAAGTGCTGATGATTATCTTTTCATGTGTTTATGAGCCACGTGTCAATCTTCCATTTGAATCTCTTGCTCTTAAAAAAAATGGGTTAAAAAAAAAAAGCTGGGCATGGTGCATGCCTTTAATCCAAGCACTTGGGAGGCAGAGGAGAGGCAGGTAGATCTCTGTGAGTATGAAGGCCAGGCTGGCCTTGAAACATCCCCTCCACTCAAACCTTTTAATTGTTGATACCCAAATCCTCTTCCTTTAAGCTAGATGCAGATCTTTTCCAGATATGTTAAAATAGTTTATCCTGTTTTGGTGATTGAAAGCTGCTAGTTCATTTTCTGGCTGCCCAGACTCCTGAAATAATCACACAGAAACTATATTATTTAAATCACTGCTTGGCCAACTACTTTAAGCATATTGCTAGCTAGCTCTTATATCTTTGGTTAACCCATTTCTATTAATCTGTGTATTACCATGTGGCTGTGGCTTACCAGCAAGTTTCCAGAGCATCTGTCTGCAGCTACATGGCTTCTCCCTGACCTCTTCTTTCTCCCAGCATTCAGTTTAGTTTTCTTGCCTAGCTCTATTCTGCTAAGACACTGGCTGAAACAGATTTATTTATTAACCAATAAAAGCAACACATAGACAGAAGGATTTTCCATACCACTATTTGATGGATATTGTTGTTGTTGTTTTACTCTAACCCCACAGTGGAATGGCAAAATGTCGTTGGTTGTATTTACTCTTTGTTCTTTTGGGGTGCCTGCCATCCTGCTCCCAAAGAAATTAATTACACATGGAGTCTTATTCTTTCTTATGAATGTCTGGCCTTAGCTTGGCTTATTTCTAGTCAGATTGTCTTAACTTAAATTATCGCATCTACCTTTGTCTCTGGGCTTTTCTCTATTCTGTATACCTTTCTTTACTCTTACTCCATGGCTGGCTGGGTGGCTGGCCCCTTGTGTCTTCTTCTCCTTTTCTTGTTCCTTCTTTTTGAACCCTCTTTTCGGATTTCTCCTCCTATTTGTTCTCTCTGCCCAGCTATAGGCTATTCAGCTCTTTCTTTATTAGACCAACTAGGTATTTTAGATAGGCAAAGTATCACAACTTCACAGAGTTAAACAAATGCAACATAAAGAATATAACACATCTTTGCATCATTAAAACAAATGTTCCACAGCACAAACAAATATAACACATCATAAAATAACATTCCACAACAGATGGAACGTTTTCCTTTATCTATATACCCTTTGAATCATGAGGGCTTTTTATATCAATCAAATCCAATTTGTCCGTGTTTTCACTTTGGGGTCGGTCCTACAAACTTTAGTACCTAATTAGTAAGTATCCCATTAGCTCAGTAGGTAGCACTTAGTCTCATCCCTAGAGAAGCATTGCCTAACCCAAGGCTATAAAGATGTACACCTCTATGTTCTTCTCTGAGTTTTATAGTTTAAGCCCTTGCATTTAAGCCTTTGGTCCATTTTAAGTTACATTTGTGTCGTAGGAACATCCATCTCCATCTGTATGTCTTCCCCGTTGTTCCAGCACCATTCTCCACTGAGACAGAAAGAGACCAGTCTTCACTGATAGTCTTAGTATGCATAGCAAAAATCAGCTGATCGTTTCTATCAAGTTTTATTTTCACCACCACCTCAAGTCTAGTCCAGGTGTATGTCTATATTTACTCCATATTTGATTGCTACATATTTGTCATAAGTTTCTAATCAAAATGTAGGAGACCTCCAACTTTAGTCCTATTCTTTGTCTCTTGAATTTTCATGTGAATTTTATGATCAGCTTGTCCATTTCTGCAGAGGATATAAGGAGCAATTGATTTCTAAAGTATTGCCATCCTAGCCCTTTCTGTTCATAAGTTATCTTTTTAGCTAATTTTTTTGGTTGTTTTTTTGAGAAAGGATTTTTTGTGTAACAGTCCTGGCTGTCCTGGAACTTGCTCTGTAGACCAGGCTGGGCTTGAACTCAGAGATCTGACTGCCTCTGCTTCCCAAGTGCTGGGATTAAAGGCATGTACCACCACTGGTCAGCATCTATTTACCTTTTTGTCTTACCAATATTTTGCGGTTTTCAAAATACAATTTCCTACATATCTGTAGTTAAATTTATTCCTAAATATTTTTGTTCTTTTTATGTTATTGCAAATGAAATTTCTTAATTTCATTGGCAGATTTTTTCATCCCATGTGTAGAAACATTTTTGTTTATTGATCTTGCATTTTTTAAATTTGCAGTACTCATTATTTTAATAGTATGTGTCTGTGGGGTTTTGTTGTTTGTTTTTAAGATTCCTTAGCAAGACTGGAGATAGAGCTTAGTTGCACAAAATCAAGTCTGACTTCCATTTCCAAATAAACTAGGCATGGTCACACACATCTCTAATCTAGTATGAAGGCAAGAAGAACATTCAAAATCCCTCCAAAACATTTTCTTAGGGCTTTGTGTATACAGTAATAGATCATCTGCAAATAAAGATGATTTTGCATCTTTTCCAGTTTTCTTTTTCAGATACCAAATTGTCCTTGTATAGAAACTTCAATGAGAAAGATTTGCAGAGCAATATAGGATCATGAAGGAACACAACACGACAACCTTTCACCTCTGAGTTTCCTTGTTTCAGGAAAGTCCTTGCCGGTAATGGTGGATCACTCAAGTCGCTTGAGCAGTTAAGAACTATGTTAAACATATCATAAAATGGGGACTTTTCCAAGGGTGCTTATGAAACTTGTTAGTGTGCTTTTTGGGTTCTGCCAATGAAGGTCAAGTTCAATGGGGTTGTTTTGTTTCACCAGAGTTTGTTGTTGTTGTTTTGGTTGTTTGTTTGAGACAGGGTTTCCTGTAATCCAGGCTAGCCTTGAACTTTTCACATCTGGTGCTGACCTTGGGTTCCTGATTTCCTGGTTTTGTGCTCCTCCCAGGTTCTGGGATTAGAGGTCTCTGTTGAATTGCAGTGTTTTTAATGGACTGTGAAGGGTTTGCTAAAGGAGTGATAAACTACAGTCGAAAACGGCGAACCCAGGTTTTAGCAGAGTCACGTGACTGAAGCAGTGATGTCACTTGCTTCTGGATGCTTGAAGGCGAACGCATGCTTAACTTGCTCTGTTGAGTAGCAGATTTTTAAGTTCATAGAATAATTACATTTAATATTTTGACTAGGCAAATATACTCAAGTAGTTCAAAATGCTGAAGATGCAAAAGAGAGCTGGGCCCATCGCTCAGTGATAACACGACTAGTTGGTATAAAGTCCTTTTAGTGCTCTATCCCTAGAACCATGGAGAGTGGAGGTGGGGTGGACACGACCCAATTCCAATGGTCCAAAGGAGCATCCAATAACGTTTTTCTTAGTCTCCTCAGTTTCCTCCGCCAGGAGCAATCAGGAAACCAGCATATTGTATGCCTTTTTATAGACAATGTGTACATATACAAGGAAATATGCATTAGGCCATGGTAGCCAAAATAGCAGCTTCCAGATGCCCGTGGCCTGTTGTCTAACCTGTGAGCATGCTACCTTCCCCAGAATAAAGGGATTCTACAGAGCTGACCTGAGATGACCAGACTGGCTATCCAGGAGGCTGTAACTTACTCACATAAGTTATTAGAAGCAGAACATCTTTCCTAGCTGTGTGTGTGTGGGAGAGAGAGAGAGATTTGAAGAAATGAGAGTCAGGGGGCACAATGGTCCTTGAAACTGGAGGACTTCTGGGTCCAGAGGTCAGGCAGCCTGTGTAACATGGAGAAAGCCAAGATGCCCACTCTATCTTGGAGTCTTGGGAAGGAGAGAAAGCCTACACCTCAGCTTTAGCTTCATGAGGTTAGCATCAGTGTCTGGCTTATGGAGCTGTAAGTCAATAAATCTGTGCTGTGAGCGTTTGTAGCTCCTCACTGCGGCAATAGAAACCCCATCCTGTAAGCTTTGGTTGTTCGTGAATTCAGCTTAAGTACCCTGCACTTCAGACCCTGTTCTTTGCTCTTCACTCTTTCGATACCCTCGAGATAATTGCATATACCTCTCTTTAAAGGGGGTGTTTAAAATTTTATCGGATAGATGCACACCATCATTTAACTTCCCAGCCCCTCACTGGACTGTTTCCTGCCTTTTACTGTGACAGACAGAATTGTAACCGATAGGTTTAAACACACATCATTTTTTTTTAACAACAGGCGATACATTCCCAGAAGTTAAATTGCTGAGCTAAAGAGTGTTTATTTTTAGTTTGGGTTCAATATTACCAAGCCACCCTCTATAACCAAGAGGTTACAAATCTGAACAGTAAACCAACTCCAAGCAGGAAGGCCTCACGGCCAACATGTCTGAGTTACACAAAATTCAAAGATGCCGTGTAGAATTATCAGCTGTTGGAAGTGAAAGGTTATTTTTCAGGAACCAGACAATCCTTTTCCTTCTCGGAGACTAGAATTTCACACAGGTTCTGACTGCAGAGAACTCTGAGAACATCTCCAAATAAAGAGCCCTTGAGGAGCAGGCTGTGGCAAACAACTAGGACCCGCATATCCATTCACTGAGTCTCCTTTGAACCGATATCTTGCCCAGCTGGCTGGGAACGGTGCAGCCCATTTGGCCTGGTTTCCCCTGGAAAGGGCTCCGCTCTAAGACGACAATGGGAAAGAGTCAGCAGGTCCCCAGAGAGCCCCTGGGTTTTGCTCTGTTCCTTGTTGTCTGTACAGTATCTCGGAAGGTGGTACGAAATTGAGAAAATCCCAGCGAGTTTTGAGAAAGGAAACTGCAACCAAGCCAACTACTCGCAGATGGAGAACGGGAACATCAAAGTGCTAAACCAGGAGCTGAGGTGAGTGGCCTCGCAGGCCTGGCTGGGGGTGGGTGTGACCTTGCTGTGCACTGAGGCAGACGGGGCAGGGAGACAGCCGGCGCCTGAGTTCCTCAAGCTAGGCACTGTGGGGCCTGCTTTCTCTTCGTTAACCAAGGCTGAGTTCCTGCTGATTACCAAACACTGAGAGGCCATAGGCAGTCTACAGGAATGTAGCAAAGGCCCTGCTCTCATTGCAAAATGGAGACTCCTGAAGCAGAGGACATCAGGCTGCCTTGTGTGGCCTCCACACCAAGACAGAGAGCCCTTGGACCTCCCCACTCTTTTCTCTTTCTTCTTCTTTTGAGTCAGGCTTTTATGTAGCTCAGGCTAGCCTCCATCTCACTGTGTAGCCAAAAATGTTCTGGAATTTTTAATCTTCCTTAGTGCTGGAATTACAAGTGTGTGCCACCAAGCCTTGCCTGTGCAGTACTAATGTTAACCCAGGGCCTTTTGTATGCTAAGAAGCACCCTACCAAGTGAGTCACATCTCCAGCCCCAGGCATCTCCTTTTCTTGCTGAGCAAGCATCAGATACACGTGCTCTTGAGTTTGGGCCAACAGGATATCTTTTAGAAGTATGTACCTCTGTCATTAAGTGCTCTGCACATTAATCTTCGGAGAGCAGACATGACTAGACCGAGGACGAGGTCCTTGCTTATCCTCCAACAACCAGAGTTACACGACTAACAAATGCATTTCAGTATTTCCTATAGGCAAGGCACTCCCCCCACCCCCACCTGAAAATATATTGTTTAATCCCCCATGATAAAGCAAAATAGATACTATTATAAACCTCATTGGTGAGAAGACTTAGGTACAGAGAGGTTAACAACTTGTTCAGGGGCCATACAACTGACGCATAGATGAAGTCAAGATTCGGATAGGGGAAAGGGGAAGTGAAAAGAACAGAGACCAGTGGGAAAAGGCTGGGTGAAGGGTTGTTCTTTCTGTCCTCTACAAAGATATGAGAATGGTACTCAACTTCAAGAAAACAACTATGCTCAGCCCTCAAGTCGCTAGGTCCACAGAGGCTCTCTTTGTCCACCATACCATCCACTAACAGCCTGGGAGCCAGAGGCCAGCCAGCTGACTGCCAGCCAGCATAAACCAGAGAAGGAAGGAAGGAAGGCACTTGAGGGCCCTCTGACAGAATGAGCTCCTTTGGGAGTCCCAGGGGAGGGATGCCGGAGGGACTGACTACAGGGCTTCACTTACCTTTGCCAGGAATCTCCAAGGATTTTACAGGCCCTGTACTAGTCAGTGGTTTCCCCTCACAGTGGAATACCACAGAAATGGTTTATTTGGGAAGTTCCGTCTAGAATCAAGGAGATTTATTCCTTTAGCCTCTGGTGGTGGAAATATTCACCCCAGGAGGAAAGAAAGAGAAGCAGGAAGAGAATGTGGTTCTACAATTCTGTTTGAAGGACCCCCTCCAGCTGCAGTGACCTAAGGACCTCTCTAAGTCTCAACTCCCATGTTCACCATAACAGCACCACCCTGGGGACCAAACCTTTACCAGGTCCTTTTGGGGAACATTTATCCAGACTGTAGCAGGCAGGAGAGTTCTAATGACCTCTTTTCTTTTTATTTTATTTTATTTTATTTTTGTTTTTCAAGACAGGATTTCTGTGTAGCCCTGGTCATCCTGGAACTCACTCTGTAGACCAGGTTCGCCTGCCTCTGCCTCCTGTGTGCTGGGATTAAAGGTGTACATCACCTCTGCCTGGCAGTAGGATCAATGAAATATTATCTCCCATTAGATGCCAAACCCATGAATCCCACACACAGAGAACTGGGATTCTCAGCCTGTGTTTAAGAACTTGGGGCCCAGAAGAGCTGTCGTAGAACTGGAAGAGTGAAGGGACCAAGCTTTGCTACTTGCCTGCCTGGCTCAGATCAGACTAGAATGTGCTCTTAGGTTAGCTAGTTCTGCAGCCCGGAGCAAGAGAACTACCAGCCCTGGGCATTAAGTGGGGTAAAAGGAGTAAAGCTCTTACAGCAGTGTTTGGCACGGGGTAACCATCTAACAAGCATGACCTTTTATTGACTGAACTCCTGCTACATGAACACACAGATTGGAGCCGGTGAGATGGCACAGTAGGCAAAGGTGCCTGCCACCAAGTCAAGTCCCACAAGTATCCTCTGACCTACACACTAGTGTCATGATAGGCATGCGTGTGCACATGCACACACATTAAATGTAATACAGCCACCATTTAAACAAAATACAAATGCATTTTCCCCATGAACACATTGTGCCTTCATGATCAGAGACTGGTGTCTCAAGAACTGTTCTGGAACAAGACACAAATGATAGTGAAGAGAAGAGCCTGCTGTGTTGCTAAGTTACCATTTGCAGATGGAGACAGAACATCTTCCAAGAGACAGCAGGGCATGGTGCCTGGCCCTATGTGATGACAAACAGACAATGCAGTCAGGACTCTGAAAGCACCTGTCCTAACCTCCCTTACCTGCTGCTTAGGATCTGGTTGTAGAGCATCCTTGTAAGTGGATTTTTTCTGTCCCTCCTGTCAGCTCTCAAATCAAGAACAGAGACTTATTAATTATGAAGTTCAACTGATAGCTTAGACCTGTTTCTAACTAGCTCTTAGAACTTAAATTAACCCATTCTTATTAATCTATGTTTTACCATGTGGCTTTTACCTCTATCCCGTGTTGTGTATTCAACCTGTTCCACTACTGGCCATTCAGCCTTTTATTGAACCAATCAGAGTAACACATGCTCAGAGTACAAAGAGATTATTCCACAACACATCCCTCACTGCGAATCATAGTGCTAAGCTCCCGACTTCCTCACACATATTTGGCTCTCATGGTTGGCCTGCTTGACGACTGACGGGCAGGTAGCTCCTTTGCCACTCATGTCTAGACACCCCCTTCGCTGTCCTCTTCCCCAAGGCTTTCTTTCCCCTGCCCTCTGGGTTCATGGGGTCATCGGGAGTTAGCGTAAAATGGGCCAGGTCCTTGTGAAGAGTACTTCCTTGGTTTCAAGACCAGAACATTTAATATATGCCACCATTGCTGGGCGGTGATAGTGCATGCCTGTAATCCCAGCACTTTGTGAGTTCCAGGGCCAGCCTGGTCTACAGAATGAGTTTCAGGACAGGCTCCCAGGCTACACAGAGAAACCCTGTATCAAAAAAGATACGCCATCATTTTATGTACCACTAAGAAAGAATATCTCTGTCACTCGTAAGTGATGGGGGACCGGTTATAAAGTGTGTGTTTCTTCACAATTATGTCTCTGAGAATGGGACTTGTCTCAGAACCATGTTTCCTCCTTGCCTCTGTGACAACCTGCTCTTTTTCAAAATCTCCCATGCTCACTGGACACCAGCTGAACTAGAGGGGTTTTCAGAACTCATGCTCCTAGAAGGGACAAATGCTAAGAGTCAAGGCAACTCAGGGCTGATGGGAAGTGCCTCCAGTCCCCTTCCTGTTTTGCATTATTTTCAGGGCTCTAGTTCCCCATCCTTTGTTTCTTTGTCATCCTCTCCTGTGTGAAGAGACAACCTTGTAGGGGGTTGTTTTGTTTATTTTCCCATTCCCCTTTATTCCCTCTCTTTGAAGCCTAGGAGCAGGAAGTGCCTGGAAGGTGAAAGGCAAACAGTCCAAAAGCCGGTGTTGAAATGCCAGGGCCTAGCATAGAACCCAGCCCTTGGCTTTGTCACAGGGGCTTCTTGTCCACAAGTGCTGTCTTCCTCCCCTGAGTCTCAGGCAGTCACAGAAGGAAGAGCAGGGTCCAGAGCCAGGTCTGCTTGGCTTTTCAAGAGCCCTTTACACAAGATACCACCGTGTTGGCTGCCAGAGCCCTTGGGCATGAAGCTTGACTTTCATTGATTCTTTTTGCTTTTCAATTATGTGTATTTTCTTTCTTTCCCGTATCTCTTTTTTCCTTTCCTTTTCTTGTTTTCTCTCTCTCTCTTCCTTTCCTCCCCCACCCTCCCTCTCTCTTTTTCTCTTTCCACTCACTTTAGACCTGATGGAACCGTGAACCAAGTTGAAGGTGAAGCCACTCAGAGCAACCTCTCAGAGCCAGCCAAGCTGGGAGTCAAGTTTTTTGAGTGTAAGTACCCACTTCCCTCAGGGAGCTTCAGGGACGGGGGTTCTGTCGATAGAAAGCTGGAGCCCAGTGTTCCAACACATCCGAGAGCTGTCTTCAGGGTTCAAGTCAATGCACAATTATCTTCTGTGCACCTACCGTATGCTGTTCCCCGGAGTAGGCACTGATGATGGGCTAGACAGAGCTGACCATGTCCTTATAGCCTGACATCCCATGTAGACACTGAAGAGGTACCAAGAAACTTCCTTAGCGTTTCCGGAGGCGAGGCCCACAAAGATACACAGATGGCATGAGTAGGAGACTGGATCCAGTCTGATCTCGCAGGAAGCGGAAGCCCCCAAATTACTAGATGTTAGGAGAACAATCCATGTCTGCGTAAGCTTACAGGCAGGACTGACAAGCTGAGGCCTGACTCTGCCACTCTCTAGTCACTCCGTTCTGCCCTTTGACTTCTGGTCTAACCTGGGAACATACAAGGCAGCAGACAGGGTAGTTAGTTTGGTTACCTCTGTAGGTAACATTGGAGAATTCATCTCAAGACCTATAAGATCTTCTGACCCTGGAAATGCTTGGGCGGCCCCTCTCTGTACCTATAGGGCAGACACCAAGTCACTCTCATAAAAGAAATCACTGTCCTTCTCCTGCCTGCCTTACCGGCACCATGGCACATTCTTAAAGGTGATACAGGAGGGAGAACCCGAACACGTTAGTCTCTGCTTCTTCACTCGGGATGGTGGACTTGAAGCCTTGCAGTGCATTCCTGACCCTCCTGGTGAAGCAGTCTCTGTGTGCACTGATGCTAGTGCGCCGTCAACCCAAGGAGGCCAGCCCAATCCCTGGTCATCTCGTGTGCCTTCTCCATGCGGCTGTGGGGGGGGGGCACATAAAAATGGTCCTTGACTGTGGCCACGCACTAGAATCACCGGGGAGTTTTGGTGGTGGTGGTGGTGTTTTTCAATACCAAGAGTGGTGGAACACACCTGTAATCCCAGCCCTGAGGAGGCTGAGGCAGGAGGGATACAAGCTACAGGTCAGCCCAGGCTGATGTGGCTTGGTGGATAATGCGCTTGTTGTATGAGCCTGGGGATCTGAGTTTGATCCCTGGAACCCACCTAAAGCTGAAGAGAACTAACTCCAAAAGTATTGTCCTCTGACCTCCTCGCATGTGGCCCCTGCCATCTCATACACACACACACACACACACACACACACACACACACACACACACACACACTAATTTAAAAAAAAATTAAAGAGGGCCAGTCACTTGAAGGTCTGAAGTTGGAGAAGGGTGGGAGGGTGGTCTTAATGTCTCTCACTGCCCCCACACCTTTCCCATGTGAAGCACCGACTTAGAATGGGTCCCCAGGCCCCTGGAGAGGAGACTCCCCTTGCCCTGGTCTTTCCTCATGCTGCTGCCTCTGGTTTCAGTGATGCCGTCTGCACCGTACTGGATCCTGGCCACCGATTATGAGAACTACGCTCTTGTCTACTCCTGCACCACCATCATCTGGCTCTTCCACGTGGATTATGCCTGGATCCTGGGAAGAAACCCTTTTCTTCCTCCAGAGACAGTAACCTACCTGAAAGATATCCTCACTTCTAATGATATAGACATCCACAAAATGACGACCACGGATCAAGCGAACTGCCCCGACTTCCTGTAAAGGGAGGGGTAACCACTCCGGGTTACTCCTATGCTTTGCGCTCCGCGGCTCCACCCCTGCTCCTCATAAAGACAAACCAAGCAACCGTGGCAAGTACCGAGGGAAAGTTTGGCCATAGAAGCCAAGGGAGGGGACTCAGGGAAAGTTGACCCAAACCCAGCCAGACCCCACACTGTCACTCCGCTAGCCCAATAATAAACATTTTGCTGATCAGCTGTGTTCACAGTGGATTCTGAGTTAGGGCTATTGTGGGAGACTCATTAGAAGCAGATGGTGGGAAACCCTTCAGTGGTTGTGTTTAGAAAAACAATTCTGAGCTGCCCTAGTTTCAAGGTAGGAGAAGGCCGACGGCAAAGTTTGTTGAGTTGGATCCAGGGTCCCACTCCACTGCAGCTACCCCTCTGGAGGGAAGGCTGGGAGGTTTTCATTTCTGTCTGGAGTCTTCCTTAAAGTTACTTTCTCATCAGGAAGTCTTCGGAGTGCTGCCAAAGAATGAGTGTCCTGGGAGGGTCTGTGAAAGGAAGAGATTCTGTGAGGAGAAGACAAAGGAATTTTAAAAATGATACAAACATTTCTCTTTCCCCATTTGTGTTTACTGAGGTCCAGTTGCATTCCAGCCATTGAAAAATCCGAGTCCCTCCCTGCCCACCCCAGAAGCTTCAGACCAGTGAGAGACACAGCAGGGTAGAGGGCACCATGGGAAATCTGAGAACATCACACCCCTTCAAGACAGAGGGTCAAGCTTGGACAGTCTGTCTAAAAGCTTCAAGGGCATTCCCAAGCCCCGGCTCCACTAGGAAGTCAGGAACAACCTGGTGCTGTTTTCTAACCCTGTGACTTTTAAAATCAAATGACCTCAGATTTATCTCTTCATTCTTGTGTAGACTATATCCTGTTTATGTTCATATATACAATTTTCATTTAAAGAAAAATAAACTCAAAATGTAGCTTTCAATTCATAATTCAAAAAGCCTGAAAACTGCTGGGCAGAGTATGGGGGTTGTACGTGATCAGCTGCTGTCCCCAGCGTTGCCCGTTGTGTCCTGTGTCTGTCACCGCACTGTCCACCAGAGGCACTTGGCTACTCTTCTAGAATGCAATGATTCCTCAGAGGGCTAAGCTTCCGGTCACCTGTTAGCTCGTGGTAAAAACTAAATTGTGTATGTTAGGAATATTTCCTCACACGAGTTCTCTCCCGAAGCAAAAATCTCTGTCAAGCCAAATCACAACAAGCCGAATTAAAGGATATCCAGGTTTAGTGGGATTTCTGTGTGCGTGAGGGGAACCGGGAAGCCACCAAGGCTCCTACCACCGGGAGGGAAATAGGAGACCATGAAGGGACTTTCTGGGGAATAGTTTATATAGACTGGGGGAGGGGTCAAGGTTTGGCGGGCACAGGGGTGGGGCCACCAGAGATGGAGACCGGGACTTACAGTGTAGGCAGTGTGATGACTCAGCTGGCAAAGGCACCTGCCACCAAACCCAAGGACCCGAGTTTGATCGCTGGGACCCACTTTGTGGGAGAAGAGAACCAACTCCAGCCAGCAAGGAATGCACGTGCTCACACACAAACATACAAACACAACATAAATACATGAAAATGCACCCCCACCCCTGAAAAAAAAAAACTTATTTCTTTCTTCTCAGAAGTTATCTGGTAACATCTGCCTGAGGAAACTTCTGTGAGATCCGGAGAGGGCAGTCCACAGGCACCAGTGGGGAGAGAAACTGGGGGGGGGGGCAGAGAAGGCCTGTAGGAAACACGATAGATAGCACATGCTCAGGCCGCACAGCCACCACTAGCTCTAGCCATCGCACGGTCGCGTCTCTCTTCGCTATTGTTACAACACATAACTCTTTTTTCTGGAGGCTTTATAAAGCAAACCCAGCTATCACAGTGCATTACTTGACCTATAACTAGCTAAGTGCACATTTCTGGCAGATATAATCACGTGTAGAACAAAAATACTGCAAGTTATGACATATGTCCTAAAGGTATTCAGAAAATGTAACCTCTATGTAGTTTTAAAAATATTTTACATAGTTTCGGTGAAAGGGAGGATGTGTGTACAGAAACGGCCGTGGTTTTACTGGGGTCAGTCTCAGACGGGAAGCAGTGTATCGAGACAATGAGGGGATGGGATTCTGGCTTCTAGAATGGCTGCTTGATATCATGCCACGTGCTTATGAAAATCTGAGAACTACAAAGTCACATGGGAGTTGCTGCTCTATGTGGGGGGGGATTGGGAGGTCCCTGCTGGTGGCCTTGCTGCTCTGCAAAAAAAAAAAAAAGGAGCTTGTGACTCTCCCTCGGTAGCCACACCCAACTGAACCAAAGGCCCTGAGAGGTTTAGGATGCTCCAGAGCTGTAAGGTCTCATAGTTGGCAGTGACCATTACTGGAGATAGACAATGAAGGCTATGAGAATATAGAAAAATTGTGGATATTAGAGGAAACCTACACCCACCCAGGGCTCCTCGCAACACCTTCAGCTGCCGGTGGCTTTCCACGTCTCAGCTCAATTCCTGTGAACCTTGGCTGACTTAGTTCCTCAGTTCCTGCCCTTTTTTCTGCAGGATTAGGTAGGCATGAGTACACAGAGAGAGAAAGAGAGAGAGAGAGACAGAGACAGAGAGCACATACTCCCCCCACACACAGCACACAGAAACACACATACATTCACATGCACACAGAGCACACACACTCCTCCCCCACAGTACATAGACACACACATACACACATACACAGAGAGCACATACTCCCCTCCATACCCTCCACACACAGCACACAGACACACATACACACACACAGAGTGCACATAGACACACACATTGATACACACACACA